ACTGTTCATATTGCAGACATGTTGAATGGCTGCTCTGAGAGCAATGGCTTCCGCCTGGAAGACACTATCGTTCAGCATACCTGGAAAGGCCACCTGCAAGAGCAGGTGGCCTTTCCAGGTATGCTGAACGATGTCATCCTTATATTGGATGAAGGCACTTCCGACCCCTTGCTCGTGCTTAGAGCCGTCCGTGTAGATCCTAACACTGGTAGCCTGGGGCTGCATGCCGTTCTTGTAGGTGGTCACAACAAGGCCTTTAAGAGAAGGATGCATGCTTAGTACATCCCCTCTGCGTTCAAACTTCACCGGATTGTAATTCTGATCTTTATAGCTTGTTTCTTTGCGAAGGTGGATAACCGTGGCATAGGCCGACTCCATTTGTGCCTTGATATGTAGCGGTATGACTCCGCTTAAAACCTGTGCTGCGTTAGTCGCGGTGGTGCGATAGGCCTTTGCGATTTGCAGGACAAAAGGACGCTGTAGAGCAGAGAGCTGGCGGATTTTTCGTCCACCCATTGGGTTGGCCCAAATGGGCGCTGCGTATAGAGCTATTTTCTCTGCTACGGTGTTGTAGAGAAGTTTGTGGATGGCTGGGATTTGACCCCAATTACGTCCTTGGAATTGACGGGCTGTTCTTGCGATTTGGGATGTTTTTTGCCGAAGCTCTTGGATATGAGGAATCCAGGTGAGGCCTGGGTCCCAGGTAACTCCAAGGTACTTAAGTGCTTTGACGATCTTGATGTTGCTGCCGCATAATTTGATGCAGGGTTTCCTGGTGGGATTAGTGCCCGGCCTGGGAATTATTAATGCGCACGATTTTTCGATGGAGATACGGAGTTTGAGCTTTTCGCAGCGTGCATTGAACAGAGAGCAGACCTCTGTGCCATTAAGTTCCAATTCTTCTCGTGTGCGTCGCCGCACTGAAAGTGCTGCGTCATCTGCGTATGCGATTAACGTCGTGTGACTGGGCCAGGCCGCCTCAAGGACCTTTTTAAAGGTGATATTCCAAAGCAGGGGGACTGCGCAAGATCCTTGAGGGCAACCGCGTACCTGCTCTTGGGATGTTATGCCTGCATCAGTTGATATAGGTATAGGTAACGGGGGGCACGGGCACTGTCCCTTTACCATAATGGTTAATCGGTATTGCACCGTGCCCACCACTGTCTAGAGCCAATGTGTAGGAGCCACATTTGCGCCCAGCACCAAAAGCCGAGGCCCAACGCTCGGACCATCCAGAGGGCAGTCAAACTGACCAAAAACGCCCTCCACACAACGCTCACCCAACCGTCCAGGCATTAGTACATATGATAGCAAATACTGAGATTCTCTGACGATTATAATACAATGTGCAATTGGTACATAATGAAATTGCAATTATAAATATACTGCATAATACAAGTCCAATAGTACAATATCAATGTAAAAAGTAAGATATAATTACAAATGCAAATATTTCGTGAACCATAAGTGCAAAATAATAGTAAGTTAAAGGACTACTGCTTCAAATATTAGTACATATGATAACAATACTGAAATTCTCTGACAATTATAATACAATGATCAATTGGTACATAATGAGATTGTAAATATAAATAGACTGTATAATACAATACAAGTCCAACAGTACAAATATAATGCAAACACGAGTATGTAATTACAAATGTTAATATTTCATGAACCATCAGTGCAAAACAATACTAAGTTAAAGGACTATGCATATCAATGCAAAACATAAAGTGTTAAAGAGTAGTAGTATACAATGTTAGATATAGATATACTATACAAAAGAAAAGAAAGTCATATTCGTACAACAGAATGGTATTGCAATTTAAATACCAACAGTATTAAAATATAATTATAATAATAAACTCAAATAAAAATCCGAACATATGACCAATACAAAAGCAAAATGTTATTCTTAAAATATCTATGCAATGCATATTCAAATACAGTCAGTAGATATATACTGATATAATTATAAATGCATAACAAGTTAAAGACATATCGAGAAAACAACCCAATACAATCGATAAGATCTATACAATACAAATTCAAATACTAAAATAATCCAGATATTAATAGAAAAGTAAATGCATATATCAAATGGTACTTCTAACAAAGATATATATATATAAACATTCTTATTGAACAAAATTCAACGAAGATTCAATGAGACAAATACCAATCCAAGCATGTGATAAGTTGACATATGGGAATAGTAGATTAACACTAACATGTATGCGTACAATATAATAAAATTGTAAATTATGTTACCAAGCACAAGTCAGTACCATAGGAATGAAGTATTTCCATAATTTTGATCAGTTTTTTAACTAAGTATTTTTGTTTAATTAAAAACTTACAAAATGCACGAGTGTTAGTATTTGGTATGGGAATGTGATAATCTTGTGTAATAGGACACTGAGTCACATAATGTTCAGGATTTCCAAGTTCACCACATACACACATATCAGTATTTGAAATCCCATGTCGATAATAGTAAACTGGATAGGGTCCATGCCCTGTAATATAACGTACCAAATGATGATTGGTAACCTGTCTATGTATATCAACATATGAAATATGAAAATAAGTACGACGACCTGTGTCGGAGTCATCCCAGTTTGTTTGCCACGCAGAAATAGTCTTGAGTAAAATTTCCTTTTTAAAATACGAAATTGGCCGTTTTACCATTAGGTTTTCAATTTCACCAATATGATCAATACTTTTTTGGGCAGCTATTTTTGCAAAGAAGTCTGCTTGGATATTGCCAATGTTATCTGCATGACCTTTTGTCCAGGCCATCAGTATTTTAGAATTTCCGGACATGTGCAATTCCTGCTGAATGGCAGAGATAATAGGCGAAGAATGCCTTGGATTTTTAATTGCAAAAAGAGATGAAAGGCTATCCGTTATTATTATACCTTCCATCCATCTCGCCGGTTTGTTTAAGATATTGAACAGCTTTAAGAATAGCCATCGCTTCTGCTTGAAAAACGCTGTTTTCAGCAGTAAGATGTCCTAACCATTTAAATATTTGGTCTTCATTGTGATAAGCCACAAGGGCACAACCAGTTTGTTGCTCAATTTTCGAACCATCAGTGAATATCTGTAAGTGAGGTAGTTGTGGCAAATTGTCACATTTCAAAAAGACATTGAGTCCATATCCTTGTTGAGCAGGATGATTATCCAAATGCTGTGTTTGCTTTTCATAGTTGGTTGGAAGAAATATGTCATCATCATGAAAATTTACAGATTGCTGCAATTGGCGAACTGTTTGATAAGCTGCCTCCTGTAGAGTGCGTAGAGGCAATGGAATAATGCCTGCAAGCACAGTCAAGGCATTAGAAGAAGTTGTACAAAAAGCGCGGGTAATCTGTAATACAAAGGGTCGTTGTAAGCTTTGCAATAGTCTGGCCTTACGACCCTGCATAGGGTCGGCCCAGACTGCAGCTGCATATATAACCATCTTCTCGATTACAGTTTGATATAATATTTTTTGTATGTACGGACTAATACCCCAATTGTGTCCATACATACGGCGAAGATTAGTTGCAATGATAGTTGTTCTTCTTTTCAATTCCTGCAGATGCAAAATCCAATTTAATTTCTCATCAAATACTATACCGAGAAATTTGAGCTGCCTTTTAATACCAATTCTGGTACCATTTATTGTAATTCTCGGTCGTCGATTTAAAGATTTTCCTTTCTTTGGGACAAGGAGAATGGTTGACTTTGAAGAGGAAATTGTAAGTTTGATATTATTACATAACTCATAAAAAAGATTACAAGTTTCTGTGGAGTTAATTTGCAGTTCATCTCTTGTTCGCCCTGTGACAACAAAAGCTGTGTCATCAGCATAAGCATATAAACGGGTATGTGCTGGCCAAGTGGAGGATAGAACATAATTAAATGTTACATTCCACAAATCAGGGCCAGCACAGGAACCCTGGGGACAGCCACGATTTTGTATCTTGGTTATTACTTCCCGGTTAGTTAAATACATTAATTTTCGTTCAGATAGATAACTTCTAAATACCAAGAATATATTCTTAGGGCAATGAGCTTTTCTTAATGATTCCAGAATTGCTGGCCACCACAGCGTATCAAAAGCATTTTGAAGATCAATACTAATGAAAGCGCTGTGGTGACCACTGATTCTATTAGATTGCAAATCATTAACAATCTTTGACAATACCTGAACAGTGGATCTACCAGGTCGAAAACCAAACTGATTATCAGACAAAAAGTTTTGCACATGCAAATGATGTTTTAAGCGTAAAACAATTATTCTCTCATATACCTTACCCAATGCAGAGAGTAAGCATATGGGTCTGTATGATGCAGGATTATGTGGGTCTCGACCCTGTTTTAGGAATAAGACCACTCTGCCAATTTTAAAAGCCCTAGGAAAAAGTCCTAAATGGAAAAGTTTGTTGAAGAAGTCCTTGAAGAAATAAGGATGAGAATTAATAGTTGCTCGGATGATAACATAATCAATTCCATCTGGCCCTGGCGCCCGTTTTTTAGGAAGATTTCGTATTGTAGTTTTAATTTCGTCTAAAGTTATATCTTGATCGTCTGCAGTATCAGGAACTGTTAAGTTATTTCTAATTTCTGTCTGGAACTGAGAATCTGTGGAAGGATCATCAGATGGAAACACGGTGGTTAAAATTGATTCTATTGTGTCTTGTGTTGGGTGCTCAGTCGAAGTAGAAGATGCTATTAGATGAGTTTGCGAAGGTTGAAAAATTTTTGTCCTTGCAATTTTGTAAGGAAGTCCATATGGATCATGATTTTGAGTGCAATATTGCTTCCATGCTGTTAATTTAGATTGAATAATCATGCGTTTATAAATTGCTTTTTCTGTTTGATAATGTTGCAAAGTATTTGAGGTGATACCATTTCGACGGTCAGATTTTAATTTTCTTCTAAGCGCTCGACATTTCTGTTGTTGAGTTCTTAATTCACCGTTCCACCAATGGAGAGCTGAAAGTTTTTTATTTGTTTTCCTTGGAAGAAGATCTTGACAAATATCTTGGATTGTAGTTAAAACCAAGTCCGTCCGTAAATTGTTCCAAGGCAGCTGGAGTTGTTTGCAAAGATAGTTGTCTTCTCAGTTGGTTCAATTTTCCTCTAATTTTTCTCGTAAATTGACGATATTTACGACCTGGGAGATTATATCTAATGAGAATAGGAACTGAGCCATTGTTGGTTATTTCAAACGTAATGAATTTATGGTCCGATAAACTTATTTCATCATGAATAGTCCAGTTATGAACCAAATGTGCAGTATTTGCTTTAGTAAAAGTTAAGTCAGGCCATCCAATAGCATATGTTCTATCAAAGGTAGGCGCAGAGTCTGGTGAGTTAAAAAGCACATAATTTTTTGAAGATATAAAATCCTCCAATAGGCGACCTTTAGGATCAGTTGTTGTATAACCCCATGCTATTGAATGGGCATTAAAGTCCCCACTGATGATTTGGTGTTTATTACCAATAATGCGAAGATTCTCTTCTAAAAAGGCAATAACTGGGGTAATGTCATCCGTAGGAGGAGAATAAATTGAATAAATAACAACTATTAAATTTCGAATTTCTAAAACTACAGCAACTTGATCTCTATTAATTGATAAAATTGAGGGAGAAATTTGTGTATTACAGTTAATAATGGCTGCACGTGGAGGTGCTAAAGTGTCTGCCTTGGAGAAGGTTGTCCAAAGAAGAGGAAAACCAGCAACTTGACCGTCTCTAGTATACGGCTCCTGGGCCAATATGAGATCAATGTGATTTCTTAATGCAAATTCTATTGTCTGTGCTGTAGCTGCCCGAGATCTCTGCATGTTTATTTGTAAGCATCTAAATGATTGCAAAGCACTCTGTGATACATGAATCGCACCTTTAGACATATGTGGTATTCTGGCGCATTCGTTCGACTTGTTTCTGATAGCAAAAGCATGCGTTGGAGTTGGCGGTATGATCAACTGGGACTGGGTTTCTGGAATTCTTGTTTGCGTCGAGACAATTGATGCAGGCTGCAAAATCCGAGGAACAGTCTCGGGAGTCATGTTCACCGGCACAGTACGTGCAGTAGAAGTTGCTGCGACATTCCCGCTGCAAATGTCCAAATCGCTGACATTTATAACATCTCTTGATGTTAAAATGTTCTGTGATTTTGTGAGACTGCCATCCAATATGGAGTTTGGGGTATCGCATAATTGTATTGAAAGCTGCGGGCTTACATTGGAAGATCCACTTAACATTTTTCTTTTCTTTTAATCGAAAAAGAGGTTTTATGTCCTCTGTGTCTAAACCAAATTCAGTAAGAAATGCTTCCCCTAAATCCTCTTGAGGAAGATCTGTAGGAATGTTATGAATGGCTAGTAAAGGATTTTTTAATGTTGGTTGCTTGATAGTAACTAGTGAGGAAGCTCTCTCAGATGTTAAGGTATCTTTTAGTTTCTTCTTATCTGACTCTGTTGAACAGACAACAGCAAGACCACCCTTTTTAATTGAACGTATAGCAGTTACCTGAGCTCCAATTTTTGGAAGTGGGAACTCCTTAGCAAGTTTATCCTTCAATTTACGACTAGTTGTCGTATGTTTTGGATATATTAGCAACGTCGGTTGAGGAGCTGCTGGAAGGATGGAATGCTGCACTGCAGCAGCGTAAGAATAGCCTGCGAGTGGAGTTGGCAAATTTACTGTATCTTGCACAGGAAATGAGATATTTCAAGCCTGTTTATGATGGGCAAGTTCACAACAAATAACAGTCGAGGTATCAGTTGTGGGAGGCTTAGGTACAAAATCTGGGCCTTCTTCAGCTAATTGTTTGAAGACGTCTAAGGATTTACAAAGAGGTTCTCTTAAATTTGAGGGAAGGACAAATTTGCTTCCTTTATATGTTACTGCTATAGTATGGATAGTTTCATATAATACCTTTATTTTTTCATGATAAGAAATGTCTGAATGTATCAATGTAAATGGATCCAAATCACTTATTGAAGGAGTTTGATTACTATCAACAGGTATTACAGAAGGGCGAGACATTTTACAAAAAGTAATGTAGCATAAACACCATTAAACATATATATTAATCAGCTGTATAATGAGTAAAGATAAAATTGTACCACAGAATTATGCAATTCAACAAGAAGTATAAAGAGCAAAATAATATAATACAAGTAAATTTACCAATACTGCATAATAACAACAATATTTAAACATAAAGTATATTAAAACATCAATTAAAATGATTTAAAACAGTTTAAACATTAATTACTGTTACAATAATACATATAGATAGTATTCAACACTTATCGAAATCAGAGTGAAAGTGTCGTAATAACACTCGTCATCGAGTTCAAATAACGACGAAATATAGGGCAATTCAACAGAGTCAAAATTATTGCAATTTCAAAGAGTCTAAGCCAGAAGGACGAACCCTTTGGCACTATTAAATATTTAGCTTGAGAATATAGGTTTCATAGTAAAATGATTGCAGACCAATTAATAGAACAATAGAATTTTCAGTTAAAAGATCAAGTCCGAAGATACAATAGTTAGCAATAAAAGAACTGTACAGAATAATAGATCATGAAAAAAAATACCTTTTTCCCGAAAACCAGGTAAGCTAGGTGCAACTGCATTGTCGCTCCCTTTTTTAATTTCGCCTTTTTAGCCGCAGAAAGTAATGAACTTGATTAAAATCAGTTCACACTGCGTGATAAGGACCACGTTTCTGTGACTATTTCCTTATTTCTTCTTCTAGGTATTTCTTTCTCCGTGAGGAGGGACTTAGCTGCCTCGAAATCGATTGAGTGTTTCAATATTCTTACGCTAAATACAAGGTTGTTTTACGATTTTGATTGTCACATTAGCGTGTTTCTCTTCTTGTCCAATGTATGACGGTTGAAATATGCAAAGTTTTGAAATTTTAGAGATGCTTTGCAAAACATTCCATGCATGTTTATGGTATGTATAGATCGGAGATTGAAGTTAAATACTTCTCTCATAAAAACATAGTTTCTTCATTAAAATTTAATTTAAACTTAAATCACCAGATGGTGTAAATGGTATTGTATCTATATATTCATTAAACGATTTCGCCCTTTCAGCTGAAAATTGCGTCAGGTTCCTATCAGTAACCTGAATTGTCTTTCTTTTAATTTATATTTAAGATAAAAACGTACCACTAAATATTTTTCACCATTTTCAAAAGTAGTTGGCTTATTGCATATATCCAGAATATTGTTATCAATGTCAATTCCAACTTACTTTTTATATATTAGAAAAATGTTTAATTTATAAGCCTTATTCAGATTTTGTCCGAATACTACAGCATTACCTGTATACATTAGGCTTTTGTATTGTATTATAAAAGTGCACGTACAAGGGGCACTAGAACTTCACCATTTGTCGTACAAGTAGTCCCACCACACTAATTGCGCAGTTCCGTCACAGTGTTTGATGTAGATCACCCCAGGCACGTTCTGTGGGTCTCCCACTCCTCTTCCCTGACACAAAGCCACTAAAAGCGTACGATTCGCAAATATTTTAAATGTATACCACACAGATACTATACGCACACAAACATCCATGCCTTCTTCTGTATCTTGCACAGGAAATGAGATATTTGAAGCCTGTTTATGATGGGCAAGTTCACAACAAATAACAGTCGAGGTATCAGTTGTGGGAGGCTTAGGTACAAAATCTGGGCCTTCTTCAGCTAATTGTTTGAAGGCGTCTAAGGATTTACAAAGAGGTTCTCTTAAATTTGAGGGAAGGACAAATTTGCTTCCTTTATATGTTACTGCTATAGTATGGATAGTTTCATATAATACCTTTATTTTTTCATGATAAGAAATGTCTGAATGTATCAATGTAAATGGATCCAAATTACTTATTGAAGGAGTTTGATTACTATCAACAGGTACTACAGAAGGGCGAGACATTTTACAAAAAGTAATGTAGCATAAACACCATTAAACATATATATTAATCAGCTGTATAATGAGTAAAGATAAAATTGTAAATTGATAAAATTGTACCGGTATAGCAGTCAGCATCGCTAATCACTATTTTAATCAGGAGATTGTTGCATCATATGGTAAAATTACGAACTAAGAGGCACCTATGATTATCACAGTAGCACTTTTATCACGGTAAAGAAAAAATATTCACTAAAGTACTGCGATATAGAAACTTTCCACAAACACTTTGTAGCCTAGCATTTAATCTGGCAATTTATTTACTCAAACAGCTCCCTAACACGTGCAAACACGAAATAGTAATTAAGTTGTAGAGACATTAAGATTTTTGGAAGCCGGAGAGATGAAAAATTAGTAACCGCCTTCGCCGAGAATCGAACCATGGACCTCTGGAATACCGGCCCAGCGTGCAGAAGACTACCCACGAAGGTACGCCAAGAAGATGGGAGAAATACCTTATATACTCCTCCTTTTAAAGGGCACTGGGGTTTTTAGAGGACCCAATTGCCAAATCTAGGTGCGCAAAACCATCATCCAACAACCCTTTTAGCTCGGGCGCCTGTTTAGAGACATTAAGTGAATTGAAAAAGGCCGGAGAGATGAAAAATTAGCAACCGCCTTCGCCGAGAATCGAACCACGGTCCTCTGGAATACAGGCCCAGCATGCAGAACCACTTCACCACGAAGGCACACCAAGAAGGGGGAGAAGTACCTTATAAAGTAATTATTAATTAGTATTATACATATTACAATCAAATAGCATTATACATACTAAATTTGCGTAAATATATATGCTCTATCTAACTTTTTTAATGGTACGCTCATTTATAAACCAATAAAATTTGGTAACTTATAAAATACTGTTTGTATTTAATATTTCTAGAGATTTTTATTCAAGTGGATGGTATTTTGATACGTCACAATTTACATCAAGAGATTTTCTTTAAGAAAGTATCTTTTCCCCTGTTATAAATTAACATAAGTTTATTCACTGGTATTATATGCGGTTTTCATTCATGGTTTGGTTGGATTCGTTTGATTATAGAAAAGCACACAAAGGCTTACTGCTTTTTTTATAGACCAGGGGATCTCAACCAGAGGGGAATTCACCGTGGCGGAAATATCTAATTTCAGGGAAAGAATACGGTCAGCCTGACTCGTTAAAAATAATTTAAATCTAAATAAAGGTATAAGTATTTTTCGAGTTTTGAAAAGGGGAAGGATGATCTTCTTAACAATGATGAAAGGGGTGAATAGGGTAAGATTTGATAATCATTGTGATAGACAGTATCAGAGACAATCATTGTGATAGACAGTATCAGAGACAATTATTGTGATAGGCAGTATCAGAGACAATGAACGGAAAATTAGAAAGCGACCGTTTTCATCATGGTAAGAAATCTAACAAGACTGCCAACAGGATTCGTAGCGGTCCTTATAAGTCCTTTATATTTGGAAATAAAATATAAAAGTTCTTATAAGTGCTTTTTTGTTTTTAGTGCTTATTTTTATCAGTCCCTTTCTCTGCATTAACATAATCTTTGGTGCGCGCGAGTACAGAAAGGTGCACGTCGTTCTATTGGTCAAAGAATTGAGAA